AGAATAGAAAAAACTCGCTGTTCAAAAAATATTCGAAAAGTGGGTCTGCGCTCGACTTTGTCGCTTACTCGGTGGCGAGGCATAGATTTAACTCCCTCAACCATCATTATTACTGCAGATACCTTCAGTTCATTAAATCCTCTCTGTTTGCTAATCCTAAATTCTTCTTTAAATTTGTGAACTCTAAAAGAAAAATTTCCACATATCCCTCTCTCCCTTCTTTTAATGGCTCTGATTCCTCGGATGATTTTGAAATCTCAAATCTATTTGCTGAATATTTCCGACGAAACTTTTCGATTGCTAATTTCGATTTATCAGCAAACTATCCATATCCTATAACTAACTCGGTTTCAATACCTAACTTGGTTATTTCGGAAGATGATATTTTCAAAGGGTTGAGTTCTCTAAAATACAGTTGTTCGCCTGGACCTGATGGAATTCCATCATGTGTACTTAAATCTTGCGCTGTCGAGTTATGTGGTGTGATCTCAAAGATTTTTACATGTCCTTGTATTCAGGTGTTTTCCCTTCATGTTGGAAGAGTAGCTTCCTTATTCCTATCCACAAGAGTGGAAGTAGACAATTTGTTGAGAACTACAGAAGCATAGCCAAGTTGAGTGTTTTGCCCAAGTTGTTCGAGCGTACTGTGACTCAGCATTTGGCCTTTGCCATTAATTCGTATATTTCTCCGCACCTGCACGGCTTTCGTAAAGGGCGATGTAAAGTCACCAACTTGTTAGAGTTTACCTGTCATGTTTTCAAGGCTTTTTTTAGCGGCTCTCGCACAGATGTTATTTACACTGATTTAAGCAAAGCATTTGATATGGTTAACCATAGACTACTTATCTTTAAACTCCAAGCCTCTGGTTTCCCACCCTACTTAGTGAAATGGATAAGCTCTTATCTGCACAATAGATCCTTCAGAGTTTTGTTTAACTCCATCACCTCGGATGAATTCCCCGTTACGTCTGGCGTACCTCAAGGAAGTCACTTAGGTCCTATTTTATTTACTGTATACATTAACGATCTCCCATCGGTGGTTAATTCCAGCCAGATCTTAATGTATGCTGATGATGTGAAACTGTTTTCTTCCTTCTTTGTTGAATCGCAATCACATCAGCTTCAAGGTGATTTGGATAATTTTGTTGCATGGTGCTCTTTGAATCTTCTGAAACTAAATCTGAGTAAATGTAAGGAGCTTTCTTTCTCAAGAAGGAAGTCGTTCATTACTCAGTATTGATTCGCATAAGTTGAAGGACGTAGATACGTTCACAGATTTAGGCGACCTATTTGATTATAGGTTACGTTTCAATTTGCATATGTTAAGCAAAGGTACGTCCGCGCTTGGTTTTATAAAAAGATGGTCCAAAGAGCTTGATGATTCCTTCATTACGAAAAGGCTGTACATGTGTTTGGTTAGACCCATACTCGAGTATGCCTCAGTTGTGTGGTCTCCTTCATGTAGGTGCTATGTAGACTCAATTGAATCTGTTCAAAAGCAATTCTTGTTGTTTGTCCTTAGAAATTTGGGTTGGGATCCGATTGCCTCTCTTCCTCTGTATGAAAATAGGTTGCTTCTGCTGTCCCTACCATCTCTTGAGAAACGTAGATTTGTTCTTGGCGTTTCCTTTCTAATTAAAGTAATAAATGGTGCTATTGACTCGCCTTCATTACTTGGTGAAATAAGCTTTAATGTCCCTAACCGCTTCTCTAGGCACTTTATCTTGGTTAAGCTTAATCAGTGTAAATTTAATTATGAGCTGTTCAATCCGCTCAGAGTCGTTTGCAAGAACCTAAATGACGTCTACTACTTATTCTCGTTATCGGACTCTTTAAAGTCCATTATAGCAACATTGCTTAATACGCGCGATTTACCTATGTCGTATTTAAAATAGCTTTTATCCTTAAAAAGTCGTTATGTTTCGAAAGTGAATTATTTTCAATTTATTATCGGTTGCCAGGCTTATGCATGTTTGCGATGGCTTAGGGGTTCATTTGCAATTTGGTCCTGTACCGGTTATTAGTGTGCTCCTATGCTGATAGTGTACATGCTTTTTTTTCTTTTTCTTTTTTTTTCTTCTTATTTGTTTTATTATGCTTATACTCAATTTTATTGTTAATTAATATAAGTTTTGCATAAAGAGCCAATTGAACTCGACTGTTATTTGTTTAGTTGAGTTTCTAGTATAAGTGAAATAAATAAAAAAAATAAATAAATAAACATAATTATAAAATAATATAATTGGACGTACATAAGATAAGATAAATATATGAAGGTGTGCTGCTTAGCAGTATTATTGATTAAACATTATTAAACATTTTTTGAGAGGAAGCGGCCATCAAACGTTGCACTTGAATTGACATTATAACTAAACTATAACCGTTTCAAGTGCCAGATCATAGTAAGAAAGAACGTCTCCTCATTAGTTATTCCAACCCTACGGAATTCATTGTAGTACATGCACATATGTTAGGCACACAAATAATATCTAAAACGTTTGCTTTGCATCAGGATGCGTAGCGTGTAGCCCAGGAGCTGACTGCAGTCAACATTAGAAATTTTTTACTCTAACATTTTTGTTGAGATCAGCTATCGTTAATTCAGGTTTTTGCTCATTCTTAAGTTTAATTTTCAAAGGGTACTCCGAGATGATTTTTCATTAATAATGGGGAGGTTAGAACACAATTTTCCAATTTCTTTCACTTTCGCTACAGACAATTCATGCAGGTTGCTGCTACACACATTACATATCCCCTTGTACGTCTCCTGAATAGTTTTATACAATTTTTATAGGCGT